GCATAGTCACCGCCGTAGTCCTTGTAGTGATCACGCACGTCAAATCCCAAACTAAAAAAAATATTATTCCATATATACATCTGCATTCTGTAAAAAACACAAACAAGTTATAGATCTACACAATGATCACGTCATTGCAGAAACCATATTAAAGTTTGAACAAGACACATGCGAGTATGGGAGTAAATATACTGTAAAAGTGTTAACTATTCACTGGGTTTTAATTTTGCTTATTTCGCTGACTTTAAATTGCGCTAAATTGAAACTCAGTGAATATGTTAAATTTAGCATAGAACACATTATCTAAATGATAAAACAGTGAATTTAAAACCCACTGAATGTGCATGAAATGGTAAATCAGCGAAATTTAAACCCAGTGAAAATTAGTCATTTTACAGTATGCATTATTTTGTTTAAATAAAATAATTGTTTGCATTTGGCAACATGTATTGGTGCGAAAATTTTGCTTTTTTGCCACTCCCCATTAAGAATGCTCAATAAAGTTTTCCTGAACTTGGTTGGTTTGAAGTGAACATGCACACATTTTTCTTCCTGCAATTGCAATTCAACATGTGATTTCTGAGTCAATAAGCACCTGTGCTCTGGATCAATATGTCCTTATATTCACCTGTACACAGGTCAACGCGCAATGTACACAATATAAATATTGGGCATGTCACGACTTATTTCAAAATGAATGTTTATTTCCCAATGAACCATTGAATACTGACAAACTGAAATACAGCGCAAAGTGATTTTCAACTTACTTAGATTCTTCCCCAGGGTTTATAGCCATGATATTGCCGTCAATAACAGCAGTAGCACCACGTAAGGCTGCTTGTACAAAGTCACTCTGAACTTTAAATATTGCTCTTTCACGGATAATTCTATCAGGGAGAGTCTTTCTGGGTAGATCATGAGTGGTTTGAATTTCTTCATTCCAATCTCTGGTCTGTCCTGGTATATGTTCTTCATATCCAAGTCTAGAATTGTGAGCTATTTAAGAGTAACAAAGAAGTTGTATTTAATGTCAGTTGTAAGCAAAATACTAGACGCAGTCAAGTTTGTATGAAAGCTATCATTATGTAGGCTTGATTTCTGTTACCACTAAAATGGCTGCCAATCGGACATCTAAGTGGTGGACGCCTGTAAACCATGTTAAAACTTTGTGCCATGAATTTTGTACTATTTGGGACTAACAGGACTGTTTCGTGGAAGGCCATATAAGTTACCGGCACGGAATAGAATAGAGAAAAACTAAATCATGTGATTGCATGTGTTGGTTGGTTGGTTGGTACTTTACTCAACAAATAATGACTCACAATCCTCTGCTCGTATTGAATCAATAGTGTGTTCTGTAACCGGTGCAGTCCAGCTGTAGATCTGGAAAGGTACCAAGACTCTCTCCAATGGATGGCGTTGACTTCTGCAGAGACAATAGAACAGTAAATTCAGATGGTCAACAGAAAAATCTTGTTACAAGAAATCATATTTTAAATTCTAATAAAAGGACTCGTAGAAATGAACCAATAGCGCTTGTGGAAGTAAAAATTTGACTAACCTCTTTTTTATCATCTGTGTAAAGTTTTTCTTGAATAATGGACTGATTTTCTGCAATAGTTCCACCAATGAATGAGACAGGTGCTTAGGCTCTGATGGTTTGGGATCAAATACTTCTAAGGTTGATCTGACATAAAAGAAAATGTGCATCAAAATGATAAAAATATAACAAGTTACACTTTGATTTATGGTACTTGTGAAAACAATCTATTGATACAGGTCAGTCAAAGGTCAGATACCAATGACAGGCCGAGTTACGAGGATAGGCGATTAATGTTGCTTGTCCGAGGCTGCCTAACTTTGAAAACCTTACACATCGAGCAAGATCCTTTCACATCAAGTATAATTTTTTTATAAGCTGTAAGTTTTAATTTTTTTCTGACTTCAGAGATTCGCAAAACATGTCTGAATTTTACGACTCTTTTCTGAAATTAAACGACAACTAATTACAGCTAATAAATGTGTTGCAGAAACTATGCTACAAGAAAATGCATGCATACAATGTATTTTTTTTATATAATGAAGTTTAAACCATAACACCAATATGTTACTAGATTGTACAAATTTCATTCCCGCAACAAATTATGATGTGTTGCTATAGTTACCAGAGTCTAACTCATAAAAATTTATTAATTGTTGTCATGGTTGGTAGATTTGAAAAGCATTTTTGGAAATTTTGCTTGCCCTCGATGTTGCCATGGTTATGTTTATATAGGTTATAGGTGGCAAGATCTGCTTGAAACAATATCTTCCTCAGATCTAGTGTATATTAAAATGATACAGTCGTCATAACTCCCATGTCTGCCAGTCAGCCATTTTGAATCAGATATAAAAACAAGATGACATGCATCAAGGACTCGTATATGTATAAAAAATTGATGAACAAAAAATTTCCAGGGCCAAAATTCTCGATTTTAATGCATTTTTACTTTAAGTTGGCAGGCATTTAAGCCATCTTGAATTTGATTGTGAAATCAAACTATGAAAACAATTGTTGTTGGCACTGGCAGTATTGGCCATGTAGAAGAAATGTACCTTTGTTTCTAGATTCCAAAAAAGCCTACACTCAAGTGGGTTTCACACTTTAATACTTAAACCAATGAAGTAAAACAAAACAAAGTAAAGAAAGATGAATATTACCTGTTAATATAAAATCCTTTGGTAGAAGCCGTAATGTGGTAAGAATTGTTCTCTAAGGTAATTGTATGTAGGTACATTAAATCACCTGTGAACAGAATAAATCGCTGTAAATGAAACGGTGTCTACATTGTCATGGAAACTTGACAGAACCAAAATTGGAACTGATATACATATAATAGTAATTGAATACAAGGTGAAGTACAAAATATTGTTTTACGCCAAAGCACAAATGTGCCTTATCAATTAAAAAGAAAAGAATTTCTCATGTGAGTGGGTTAGTGGTTAGTGATTTTATGCCATGGGTTCTTAGAGGGTTATGACTTCAAGCCAAAGGTATACCATAGAATTGTATTTTCATGCAAGATATCTAATTCTTTTTGCTTCCTTGCATCTTGGGGCAAATGTTATTACTGTTCACTAAACTATACCGACGAGTTTTCTGCTTCGCAGGGGTGGGTTACATCCACTGGCTATTCATACTATTACTGTTATTAATTTAAAACTTACCATGCAGTTTCCTGTTACCCGGGGGTGGGTTCCATCCACTAGCTGTGAATACTTGTAAACATAGGGGTGCTTTGGCTTCTTTTATCAATGGGTTAAGGGGCATCAATGGACGTTCAGCACTTTCTGGCATGATAAAATCAGGCGGTGTACAGTCAACCGAGTCAGACTTCTTGTTGCGGCCTGCAAGAAACCAGAGAAACAACTTAACATACACAAGTCCAGCAATAATATGTGCATTAATTATCCTAGCCTGACATGTACATATGAGTGACGCACTCACCGGCCAAACGGCATCAGACCCCACTAACTCCTGACAG